ATTGACTTTCCTTTACTACAGGTAGGGTCTTATATTTTTCCCCCAAAATATGTGTATAGGTTGGCTTTTAAAAAAAAATTTTTAGGGGCCGGCCCGGTGGCGCACTGGATAAGTGCACCGCTTGGGAAGCGCGGCGGCGCTCCCACCCGAGGGTTCGGATCCCACATACAGACCGGTTCCCACTCACTGGCTGAGCGGGGCGCGGGAGCGGCACCGAGGGTTGCGATCCCGTTGCCAGTCCCCGGTCCGGTACAGGGGTGACACTGAGGGTTGCGATCCGTTGCCGGACACGGAAAAAAAAGTATAGGTCGGTTTTTAAAAAAATTTTTTATAGTATATTACTGTGAGTATAAAACTATTTCTTATAAAAAGGAGTATTAAATCTGACAGGCCATATTAGGCATCACACTACTTTTAAAAGCTCTTTAGGTGACTGATTTCAAATAAAAGATTCAATTGAAATTAGTATTCATAACAATATGATTCTCCATTGAAATAGTTCAAGGGATATTTCTGTTAAAAATTTCCCTATGGAGTAGGGAAATTTTACTTGTTATAGTCTGCCTGGATAGCCTGGTCATTTTCAGTTTGGAACATATTAAATCGATATGGAAGCTGTCCTTATTGAAGGTGTTTGTTTAATCAATGATCAGATTTAACTTTTTAAGGCTGGTAAAGCTGTCTGGATCTAAGTATTAATTTCTCTCAGGGATTTACAAGAGTTAATGGTTTTGCTAAATACCCCACCTTGTAATTACTTATCTGTTTATTGGTTTGTTGTGATTTTTATTGTGAAAGCATGGCTATGTAAAAATATCCTAGAATCTTGGTAGAAAAATTTTATTCAAGAAATACTCTTTAAGGATGTGCTAACTGCTAGGTTTCTCAGGAGGCTTAAGCATTTCCAAAGATCTATATCATTAAAAATAGTGAGTACTTCATTTAGCTTTTTTGTGTTTCTTTTTCTGAAATAAAGTGGGCTTGACATAATGTATTATTATAAATAATAACTCTTTGGAATCAAGCATGCTTGATCCAAAGTAACGTGATGAAAAAAGAACATCATGAAAGTAACCATTTAAGAAATATGTCAGGCATTTTAGATGTAATCTTTTGTGCACTCTAGAGGAAAATCTTGTTCTTCTCTGTTAAATGCTTAGGTATTAGAAGTCTTTTAAAACAATGTTTGAGTACCTTTGTGGCAATCCAGGAATAGTTGTAGCTAGCAGCTACCGGTAACAGGTTGATTATTCTAGATTTAAAATGATTATCATGTCCTTATGCCTAGCTAATATTCTCTTTTTTTTTTTNCGCACCGCGCTCAGCCAGTGAGCGGGAACTGGTCTCCACATGGGATCCGAACCCTCAGCGGAAGCTCCACTGCGCTCCCAAGCGGCACACTCTCCAGTGCGCCACCGGCCGGCCCTGAGTACTTTTAGTTTTAAGGATTTTTCTTATCAACACAGAATTTAGAAAAGATGCATTTTCCGAAAATACAGTAACTCTAGCATTAACATAAGAAACTTTAAAGTTTGGAGTTGTATAGTTATTTTGTCTTGTTATTTGTATACTGGAAAAGTATAGTTTTGTTGATTATTCAGTGGATCGATTTTGTCTTATTTTCTAGAGGTAAAAATCTATAAAAGACTCTGCTGTTAAGTTAGATTGTCCCTTTGTTGTGGTTGAAATCAAGAGTATAGGTTAGTTTTTAGTTCATAGATCTGTTTTTAAAAATGTTACCTGAAAAATTTAAACTTTTATACATGAAACATTTTGTGGTAAAAAATCACACCTTTGTGTACATGTTTAATTTCCTATTTTTTAATGTTATCTATGGTACATTTTAAAGAGTTTCCAAATGGGAAATATTCTCCATACCGATTAAGATTGACAAAAGAGCTGGAGAACCTATGACCTTTTTTTTGGTTATCTACTATGAGGCAGTGATTTTGGATGAAAGTAATTTAAAGAATTCACATTTGTATTAAACATTTAATTTGTCTGAACCTAAATATTTACTTTGAAATGGCTTAACTAGGAGATCTTGATTATAAGAAAATTTTAACCATCCTGGATATAGTAATTGCTTGAGTGTGCTGTAGAGGAAGGTTGTAGAATTTATCTGGAGCTCTTGAGCATATACTAGAAAAATCTCGTGATTCTTGTCATTTACTCTAACACATTTCTTAAAGGAGCTTTGGATTTTGGTTTTTTGATTCTCTACAGATGTTGGTGTTACAGTGGTCCTGTTTCCATCACTTAACCACAGTGGAAGGTGTTATCCAGTCCCTCAGAGAGGGTAATCTAAAGTAATGTGCTTCTGCTACATTTATTCATCATTCAAAGCTTATTTAATGTCATGAAACTTTCTT